AAATGACCGCATTTTTGTGTGTCTTTTCCAGAAGTTGCCCAAATTTTAAGGAGGCACATTGTCCCCTCGTTGCTCCAGGTCTGCCCACGGCTCATTGTTGTTGTGTAGCATGCGTTAGCAGCTGTGACGTGTGGCTAATTCCTCACAGGTCCTGTCTACGGTGGCTTGTTAAGGCCAAAAATGCGCACGTATCCTGGAGTTGTGTCGGATCGACGGGTCTCGCTCCAGTTCTTTGGTCCAGACCAGGATTTGTTTGTGTGTATTCACACCTGCATAAAAGGTCCGGATCAAAGTCCCAAAAATGAATCCTGGTTCGTTTAAAGTGGACCAAAAGTGCAGGTCTGAATACACACATACATGTCACACATTTTAACATAATTTAAAAATCTCTTAGGCTAATGTTATGCTTCAAATGATGATAGGAATGATAAGGAAGGGAAGTGAAGGGTAGGAAGGTTGATTTAAGAAATCGGATGCAGACAGCTAGCGAAACACAAGAGGAGACAATCGTTTGTTCTTACTTTTTAAAGCTCAACTGGGCTTATCTCCAAATGGAGGATTACACTACTGCATAAGAAAGGTCCAAGTAAGAACTATTGACTTAGAAGAAATAAACTTTGTGATTGTCCAGGCCTCCTGAGAAACCAGCTATTTTTTCAAGTTCTGTGATTTCAGCAGCTTATGCAGTACATAGGTTTCTAAGTGTGTCAAAGCTTTAGCCTGATCAGAATCAGAATCAGAATAATTTTTATTGCCACATAAGTAACAGGAAGTCACAGACTTCCTGTTACTCAGAAAGAGATAATAAAAAATAAAGAGTAAAAACACTTCTAAGGAATACATTTACATTTAAAATAGAGTTACAGTTACTATTTACAATATACAAGTGACAGCAGTACAGTGAAGTAAAGTGACGTATGATGGGCAGTAAAGTGACTTTATAAAGGGCGAGGGGACAGGTTAAGAAGTGTTCAAGAGTCCAACAGCAGAGGGGAAGAAACTGTTCTTGTGGCGGGAGGTTCTAGTCTTGATGGACCGCAGTCTCCTACCTGCTGTCTCCTACCGGTGTACAGGGAGAAGAGCAGGGGAGAAAGAACACAGCCCTGTGGGGCTCCTGTATTTATAATCCGAGAGTCCGAGACATTCTTCCCCAGACGCACTCGCTGCTTCCTGTCCGTCAGGAAGTCAGTGATCCACCAGCAGGTGGAAACGGGCACGTTGAGCTGGGAGAGCTTGTCCTGGAGCAGGGATGGCAGGATCGTGTTGAAGGCAGAGCTGAAGTCCACGAACAGGACCCTGGCATAGGTCCCCGGGGAGTCCAGATGCTGTAGGATGTGGTGGAGGGCCAGGTTAATGGCGTCGTCTACAGATCTGTTGGCTCTGTAGGCGAACTGCAGGGGGTCAAGGAGGGGGGAGGTGAAGGACTTGAGATGGGAGAGGACCAGGCGTTCAAATGACTTCATGACGACAGACGTAAGTGCTACAGGTCTGTAGTCATTGAGTCCTGTGATCCTGGGCCTCTTCAGGACGGGGATAATGATGGAGGATTATCAAGCGTCACCATTGTCAAGCGTTAGCTAGGAGATTGACAACGGTGAAAGGAGACTCAGATATCCCACATCAGACAAGACCCAAGGTGTCGGTTGTGAAAAGGGGGACCCGAGACGATCCAACATCATAACTGCAGGGTGCAAGATGCTGGCAGGGAAGGCCTACAGTACATGGAACGCCATGACCAAGTGGCTGGCATAGTGTACAGAAACATCTGTGCAGAGTATGGGCTGGAAACCCCAAGGTCTAAGTGGGAAACTCCTCCAAAGGTGGTGGAAAATGAGAGTGCGAAGAGACTGAGGGACTTCCAGATACAGACCGACCGAATTGTGATGGCGAACCAACCTGACATGGTGTGGTATACAAAGGGCAGAAGAAAGCCGTGGTGGTGGACGTGGCATTTCTAAACGATGGGAGAGGACCAGGCGTTCAAATGACTTCATGACGACAGACGTAAGTGCTACAGGTCTGTAGTCATTGAGTTCTGTGATCCTGGGCCTCTTCAGGACGGGGATAATGATGGAGGATTATCAAGCGTCACCATTGTCAAGCGTTAGCTAGGAGATTGACAACGGTGAAAGGAGACTCAGATATCCCACATCAGACAAGACCCAAGGTGTCGGTTGTGAAAAGGGGGACCCGAGACGATCCAACATCATAACTGCAGGGTGCAAGATGCTGGCAGGGAAGGCCTACAGTACATGGAACGCCATGTACTGTGACTTTTGACTTTTGGTCACTACCCAAAGCTCATGACCATAGGTGAGGGAGGGACCGAAGATTGACCGATTAATTGAGACTTTTGCCTTTCGGCTCATCTCCCTCTTTACCACAACGACCCGATACAGCGACCGCATCACTGGGCATGCTGCACCGATCCGCCTGTCAATCTCACGCTCCATTCTTCCCTCACTCGTGATCAAGACCCGGAGGTACTTGAACTCCTCCGCTCCTCAGATTTAAAGGTGCTGATTCTCATCCAAGCCGCTTCACACTTGGCTGCAAACCGTCCCAATGCATGTTGCAGGTCCTGGTTTGTTGGAGCCAACAGGACAACATTGTCCGCAAACGGCAGAGATGAAATCCTATGGTCCCCGAACCGGTCCCCCTCCGGCCCCTGGCTGCGCCTAGAAATTCTGTCCATAAAGATAGTGAACAGAACTGGTGACAAAGGGCAGCCTTGGCGGAGGCCAACATGCACCGGGAACAGGTCTGACTTACTACCGGCGATGCGAACACAGCTCTGGCTCCGGTCATGCAGAGCCGGACGGCCCCGTACTCCCGGAGAACCCCCCAAAGGACACCCCGGGGAACACGGTCGAACGCCTTCTCCAAATCCACAAAGCACATGTGGCCGGTTGGGTGAACTCCCATGAACCCTCGAGTATCCGATGGAGAGTATTGAGCTGGTCCAGTCTTCCGCGGCCGGGAAGAAAACCACACTGCTCCTCCTGGATCCAAGATCGAAGCCTCCTCTCCAGTATATAGAGTATATAAAGCAGCTCCAAGCACTGAGATAAACATTGATTTCATTGTATTTCTGTATCATGCACATAATTATACACACACACACACACATTTCTGTATCATGCACATTGAATGCCATTCAGTTCAATTATTTTTTGTATAGTAAGTAAGTAAGTAAGTAAGTAAAGTTTATTTATAAAGCGCTTTTCACAGATAAAAATCACAAAGTGCTGTACAGGACAGTGGGCAAATACAAACAATAGTATAGCCCCTAAGTCATTGCAGCAGTCGTCTTGGAGGACTTGTCCATTCACCAACCACAGATCATAGAATCAAACAAAGGAAATGCACTAATAATTATCACATAGGAACCTTTGGTCCATATGGAGCAGGATGACCAATGTCCATAAATGCTATCAAATGTTAGGAAAGACTCAAAATAGCTATCAGTGGGAAAAGTTAATATGTGTATGTGTGTGTGTGTGTGTTACAATGATAGGGATTGGAGCCCAATAAGCGTTTGCTTTGTTCAACCCCTTTTCCAGCTATACATGTGTGTTGATCTTGTGTCTTCTTAGTGTTTAAAGTTGCAAGACCAATAAGTTTGAAGTAAATAATTTACTATTTTGATTTCCATAAGTTAGAGCTAAAACATTTCTGTATAAGGGGTAACCACTCAGCTGCAGAATTCAATGCTGTTCAACTGTTAAATTGTGGATTTGTTGACCTGGTTTTATCTGTAGTTATTGTACTCATTCCTATGAAGCAATCAGTGACATACAAGTGGTGTGATTATTCAACAGCATGCTTCTGAATCCAATTTCCAACGATCAGAGCAAGTAGTAAATCTCCCATGGTGACATCATCAAATTGTAGAATGAGAACACAACTTGACTATGTCTTTTCTTATCTGAGCACAATGACAAACAAAAGTCATGTGAGGTCTTTTTGTGGCTTATAACTAGGTTAAAACTTTGTGCTAATGATAACCTGCAGCTATAAGTGTGCACTGATCGGTCAAAACATCCAGGGACCCGTGGCCCAGGGCTGGTTTAGAGCTGGGAATGAGGTCACGCATTACACTTAACCTAATTCAAGTTCGGCAGCAATGCTTTTTCTTTTTTTTCGTCCAATAATAACCAAGACGTTTTGGAAGCTTGGTCTGAATTGTGTTCTCCCGATTGTCCCAACTTTGTAGACTTGCACTGATGTGGAAGAGATCTGTCATGGATTAACAATGTAGAAGTGTTACAAGGGAAAGGAGATGACAGTCCTGCATAGGGACGCTGAAAAAAGGTTTTTTTCCAACTTCCCTATCTTTCCTTTTGTTTCTCATTTTTGCTTTTCCATTGAATATGAATGAGTGATTTTCCACTCATGGCGAGTGATTGGGTGAAGCCATTTATTATTAAGTGTGGTTACATTTAGAAACATTCAAATGAGTTTGTTTGACTGTGTTACAGCGTATTGGCTGTGGGTACCTTGCTCCAGGTGGTGAGGATGACTTCATGGAGCCTCCACTTGTTCTCCATAACTTTTGGATTTTTCTGTATATATATATATAGTTCATTTCTATATCATTATTTTATTAAAATTAGTTTTATAAATGTGACACAATTGTAGCCATTTTCATTTGTTTGGTAACCAACTTCAAGCTCCAACTACGCTCCTTTTTCAAAGTGCTGGTTCTAGACTGGTCTTGAAAATTTTTTTTGTTAGCTGTTTAATTTAGGGACTAACTGAGACCTTCCTCAGGCGGCAGTGTGAGCTGAGGTGAATATTCTGGTCTCATACGGACAACAGTAACTCAAGGTCAGCATGTAAACCAAAGCTTGCTGGTTGTATTCCTGCTTCGAATAAGTGGTCAGAATCACTTACCTACATGTTGGCTGTCGTGAAACCAACCGATGAATTCTGCAATTATGGCCTTGAGCAGGACACTTGACCTTCCTCTGTCTTAAAGCCCTTCTACAGTTTCACAGATGGCGATCGTGCACCAGTGACAGCCTTCGTTTGAGGATGTCCTGTGTCTTGACAAAATGTTTTTGATTTTTCTTCCTTTTTTGTCATAGGTTGTCATCATCATAATGAAACATTGTCTGCATTTGTCTTTCAACAAATGCCAAATGTTGAAAGATGATGTGAAATGATTATTCAGTTTAGGTTATTTTGTCGCTTTTTATACTGTACCTTTGAAATATTGTTATGTGAATTGATCCGGAGTGGACCCCAGGAACACAAGCAATCTCTTGTGGAAGCTGCTGGGAATCCAAATGATAAAAATACTTTGTGACTGGGGAACAGCATGGCCAGAAACAAGGAAGAGGTGATGTCTGTGTTTGGTGTGGGATACTAATGAGGCCTCTGTTTTATTACTGTAGGAAGTTGTCTGCCATCCATGTCTTTAGCTCCTCAAAACAAGTGTGGAGAGCAGAGGAAAAGGAGTCCGTTTAAAGATTAGGGATATTTTAGTGTCGCATCACAAGTTACAGAACAGTAGGAATGAGGAGCTCAAAACACAAGATGAGTGAAGGATAACTTTAAAAATGAAATAAAAAGCTATTTCTATTTTTTATACAAAGGTAAAAACTTAAAGTGCTTTTTATTTCATATTTCAAGTGCTAAAACTCATGAATTTAACTGGAAAATACAGCAAAAAAAGTTTGTTGACAGGCTCCCAAATGCCAACCACTGCAAGTAAACAGTGTGTTGCTATGGTAACTAGCACCAGCGCCTTGAGAAAAAATAAGATTAAGCGATCCTTTATTTGACCCACAGTGGGGAAATTTCAGTGTTGCATCACAAGTTATAGAACAGCAGGAAAGAGGAGCACACTGCACAAGTCAAAGGTGGCTTAATTGCCAAAGAATGTTGGTTGCTAAGCGGTTGCTTGGCTTGAAAATGGGTAGATTTAAATTTAACATTAAAATAAATTGATCTCTGGGAGTAAAAGTTAGAACTACTCACATTTCAATATTAAAATGACTTAGAAATAGTATAATTTCATAAAAATAAACTACACACACACACATATATATATGAGGACAGCCGTGGTGGTGGACGTGGCAATTCCAAGCGATGGTAACATCCGGAAAAAAGAACATGAAAAGCTTGAGAAATACCAAGGTCTCAGAGAGGAGCTGGAGAGGGCCTGGAGGGTAAAGGTGACAGTAGTGCCCGTGGTGATCGGTGCACTCGGGGCAGTGACCCCGAAGCTAGATGAGTGGTTACAGCGGATCCCCGGAACAACCTCGGACATCTCGGTCCAGAAATGTGCAGTGCTAGGAACAGCAAAGAAACTGCGCAGAACCCTCAAGCTCCCTGGCCTCTGGTAGGACCCGAGCTTAAGCCTAATGGTGCGTTCAGACCAAACGCGATTTCTGCGGCCAAATCGCGTCTATCGCGCGGCTTGAGCCGCTTGTGACAAATTGTGGCAGCCGCTGTCACAGAGAAACTTGGCCGCGCGGCCAGGACACTAGAGGGCAGCCGCTGTCACAGAGCGTTGAGAGCGTTTAGGGGCGGGGCTTGTCTCTTTTGCCTGTAGCTTCCCAACATGGATGTCAGCGAAGGAGTTGCTTTATCTGATAAATAAAGCCAGACACGTCGTCAAAGGGCGAATCGACGACGTGTCTGGATTCATCAGATAGTCCGTAGACGGTTGGAGTTTGGTGAGTTTCACCATTTGCTCCGGGAGCTGCGCTCGGATGAGGGTCGCTTTCAGCGGTACTTTCGTCTCTCCCTGGCCCAGTTTGACGACCTACTGACCCGCATTGGCGCTAGGATCTCCTACCAGGACTCCAACTACAGGCGCTCTATTCCAGCTGAAGAGCGCCTGTCCATCTGTCTGCGGTTAGTGTTTTTTACCCCATTCAGAATTCCTAAAAACTTACAAAGTGTGTCATTTTTCAATCACAATCCACAATGTAATTGCTCAGAAAACAGTATTATGCAACAATATGGTGTCTATGATTACTGTCTATGATGTTTACTGTCTACTAGTTTAACGTATTTTATGCTACACAAGTTTTGTCACGTGATTTTTATGAATGTAATTGTGATAAATATGTTCATATCATTTTGTAATTGCAGGTTTCTTGCCACTGGGGACTCCTACAGGACCATTGCGGGGAGCTTCAGAGCGGGCATATCCACCGTCTCCATGCTCATCCCAGATGTGGTGGCAGCCATCTGGGACTGCCTCGTGGAGGAGTTCATGGCTGTGCCTGGAGCAGAGGAGTGGAGGTCGATGGAACTTCCCTCTGTGCTGTGGGGCCATTGATGGGAAGCATGTGGCTGTGAAGGCACCCCCCAACTCTGGGTCCATGTTTTTTAATTATAAGGGGCACCATTCCCTTGTGCTCCTGGCTGTAGTGGATGCCCAGTACAGGTTCAGGGTGATTGATGTGGGAGGGTACGGCAGATCCAGCGATGGAGGCATCGTGTCCAACTCTGCCTTTGGTGAGGCTCTGCGCGAGGGCACACTCGACCTGCCTCCTGACCAGTGCATACCTGGAGCTGACACAGAGGACCCCAGCCCCATGTGTTCGTGGCAGATGAGGCCTTTTCACTGCGCTGCAATTTAATGCGCCCTGCCCATCTCCAGGATGAGGATGAGGATGGCTGGAGATGGGCAGGTTCCTGCACCGAGGGGAGCTGCTGCCGTGAAGAACCACTTCCAGGCGTGCAGCGGATGGCCGCCTGGAAGCCAGCAGTGGACATAAGGAAAGTGTTCATGGCCCACTTCAGTGAGGAGGGAGCACTGCCGTGGCAGCCCACAGAGTAGTCATGTCCACCACAAGACTGACCCACATCTGGCCATAGTCCAAACCCATATTGATTTGCACTATTCTATTCACCTGTATACCTTCTGTTTCTAGGTAATGACTGCCAGACTCCACTGCGACTCCACTCCAACTTCAGGTTAATCATATGCACATTCAAGCTTTTCCATAATTACAAGGTTGTTAAAACAGTAAAAGGTGAAATGAATAAAAAATACTGTCAACTACTGTATCGCTCTTTAAGTGTTTGTTATTCCATCTTCTATAAAACCCAGTCAGCTCTTATAAAAGTAAATGTACAAATATAGAATAGCATTTTCTGTCAATATTATATGAAAGGTAGTAATGGTTGGCTTGAAGTAGAACACATGAGGTTTGAAAAATATTTTCTTTATAAAAAAAGGAACAAACAATGAAAAATAAATGAAATGTACATATAAACAAATGAAAAGGAGCTTGCTTGGAGGAGGTGCGGTGGAAGAGGAAAGGGACACATGTCTGTTTCCTCCCCTGCAAAAGGTGTTACCTTAGGTAAAAAAAAACTGTACTGGCCAATGGTTCCAAATTAAGCAGAACGGTGCTGCTTTCATATAAAAGTTGGTACATTTTGAATTTCACAAATTCTTTTGACTCTGGTGCCACCCTTTGCAGGAGAGGAAAGAGAGAGAGCAGGAACTGATGGTCTTCTGAGTAGTCGGGCGGTCCGGCTGCTTTGGTCCGTAGAGTCTCCAGCAGCTCCCGCTCCCACTCTGAAGGCCCACCAAGGAAGAGGGCTCGGAAGAGGCCCACGTCCGTAGAGCCGCCAACAAAGAACACAGGGCAATCACAGTGTTAAAAAGTGGAACATGTATTTCAAAAAAGCAAAATGAAGAGAGCAAATAATATCTGTATTAAAGCCAGAGTGTGTAGACATAGTTAAACACATGTAAAACACTTTTAAGTTGTGTGTTTGTTACAATTAACTTGAACATTGCAGTTATCAATGAAATTACTCACACATGCACAAATTTCGACAGTTACAAACTAATATCTCTGAAGTGTATTTCGCAATGAAATTTGAAATTGGCTGTAAAAAAGTAATACTCTATTGTCTGCATTAAACAGGATAGCTGCCATCTTGTGGCAACCATTGCATGTATTTGTTCAGTACTTTTATAGCATAAGGTATTTCAGTAGTATGTTTTTATCAAAGAAAGAGGGAAGATGTGTTGTATCAGACCAAAGCTTCTTTCCACCTGTAGTGCCTTGACATCTTGTCGTTTCTCTGTAAATTTGTCGTCTACACTGATGTAACAGCCCTTGGGTAATTTTGGCATATTATGCAGTAACATTTTGTTTATATGAACAGTCCTGTAATAAGAATAAAAATATAACAATGATTAAAAAAAGCCACACCTGTAGGTGCAGAAGCAGGGGAAGGTCCAGCCCTCACAGAAGAAGAACCGGCTGAGGAAGCAGCAGCAGCAGCAGCAGCAGCTCAGGCCAAGATGTCTCACCTTGTGTGGTGGTGGCAGTATCTGCGCCAGAAGAAAACAAGAAATACAATTATTTCATATCATGTGTACATTGCGCTTATGACATTTATATGTACATAATAATGTACATTATTATGTACATTTAAATGATTTGTTCATATAAAAAGGGAAAAGTGAAATTTAACACAACACATGATCAAGATCTATCCTGGTTTGAAAATAGCCAATGCCTATTTTCACCTGGCCATGATGTTAAGAAAGCATTAAAAGAAATGCATACACAGAAAGCAATATAAATGTAAAAGTCAGCAAAATGTGGGTAATAGAAAGGAAAGAAATGTATTTTTTCCAACTGTTCGAGGTCTCCGTTTGCTGCATGACACCGACCTTCAGCACCTCATATGTGTCCCTCAGATTCTTCCACCGCTTTTTGCAAACTTCCACTGAATAAACACATCAACTCGTAAGCAGGAAAGTAGTAGTTTTTTTTCGCGGGGAAATATTTACAACATTGAAAAGTTAAAATAACTTACCCGAGACACCAACCACCTCGCTAACCCTCCTCCAAGCAAGCTTCTTTTTATTTTCGGTCCCGGTAGCTGTGGTCCGCAGTGTTATATAGCTCAGAATGAGCACCGACCTGAGCAATTGACGTGTCCTCCATAGCTGTCATCTACCAGTGTTTTTTCCGGTAGTGAAATGCGTCACTACGTCACTGGAGGAGAAAGCTCCTGATTGGTCGGCACACGCGAATTCTCCCCAAAAAGTTCAACATTGTTCAACTCTAGCGGCGGCCGCGTTGGAGGCACGAATCGCGCGAAACGCGCGTCAAAACGCTTGACATCTCAAAACACGCCGCGCGAATCGCGCGAAACGCTCGAATTCGCGCCGCTCTGGCCGCGCGAATCGCGCCGCGTGATCTCTCGCCGCTCCTTGGCGCGCGTCCCCCATGTTGTGTCAATGTAGACCCGCCGCTTTGGCCGCAGAAATCGCGTTTGGTCTGAACGCACCATAAGTTATACTCGCGCGGAGCTTACGGAGGTGACGTGACGTCACTTGCGCAACGCGTTGGTCACCGCAAGGCCCTTAAGCCTACGTTATACTTGCGCGGCGCGGAGCTTACGGAGGTGACGTGACGTCACTTGCGCAACGCGTTGGTCACCGCAAGGCCCTTACGTCGTCTGCCGCGCAGCAGCGAAATTTTCTAACTACGTAAGGATCGCCGCAAGGAAGCTCCGCTGTGATTGGCCTGTGTTTGATCACGTGTATTTGCTGGGCGGCATCTAGCTCTGCGCTTTGAGCGCCATTTTTAAATCACCATGGACCACGTAGAGGAGAGGCTGTGTGAAGAGGTTCGCAGATATGTTCATATCTACGACGCCAATTCCCGGGACTACAAAGACGCCCAGATGACCGGAAATTCGTGGCGTGAAATCTCCCAGACGTTGGGAATGGATGTGGCGGAGTGCCAACGACGGTGGAAGCTGGTGCGGGACAAATTCGTCCGTCTGAAAAAGAAGATGGTTGGACGAAGTGGGGATGCCGGCGATGGACAGAAAGTGCCCGGGTTATTTCATAGTCTGTCCTGGTTAACCCCATACGTGAGGCACCGTGAGCGACCGACCTCCACAAATGTGACGGTAAACTATTTTAAATCTGTTGTTTTACTCGAGAGGCAAAAAGTGAGATACTGGCTACCATGCTAGCCAGCATGCTAACCAGCACTACCGAAGTATAGTTGGTTTTACGTCGTCACAGCGCCAGACAAATGTTCAAGACAAAATATCGAATGCAAAATCAGAGTACTATACTAAAGTTTTAGTTGTTACAAAACGACTATGATGTATTTTTCTTCGGGTTAACGTGATTGGGATGTAGCTCTATTGTAGTGTAGCCAATACTTTGCCTGTCAGAGTAAAGTATACTAGATTCAGGTCAAATTCTTTCCATGCAACGGTAATTTAATTAATTTATGACCTGAAGTCCTTTTGGAAAAAATTCATCAAATTGTCTTTAAGCTAGCAGTAATGAAAATTACAGTGCAATCTGACATTTTTTCCTATGTGTTTGTGCAACAGCCCGCCAACAGACCACTTCCCCATGGCATAGATGCACTGTCTACCAGCTCCTCCACGTTACCCTCCACCAGCTTTTCAAGGGGACCCTCCGTCAGCTCCTTGGCAAGACCCTCCACCAGCTCCTTGTGGGGACCGGCCACCAGCTCTTTGGAGGGGAATGACGACGGCTCTGAGCAGGTGGGTGAGCCTACACGGAGCAGTACACCCGTACAATCTCCGCCCCCCACGTCTTCGCTCAGGCCACCACGCTCCTCAGTGAAGAGGAAGACTTTCGACGGACAGACGTGGTGGATGCAAGAGATGCAGGCACTGGAAAAGCGTCGTCAAGCAACCCAGGAAGCTCTCCTGGCCGCGGTCGATGACGAGGCACAGTTTGGTGCCCAAATGGCCGCGGCACTCCGAAGGGTGCCGAGAGAGAAGCAACTTGGGCTGGTCAAGTTCTTCTTGGACCGGGCTTACGAAGCAGCTCTTGATGATTGACACTTGAACTGTAAATGCACATTTTTTTGCACCTTATTTGAGTTTGCACTATGTTGAAAATCACTTTTTTTGATTATCAATCTTTTTTGGCTTGTTTGTGCACAAATACACTTTTTATTAAAACATTTTTTCCTACAAGAACTGTCATTATTCACCACATCACACAAATTAGTTATGAGACAATGAGTGTATAATATTTGTATAGTGTCAAATATAAATGACAAATTAACCGTTGAGTGAAGTCAAACACAGTTTTTGGTGAATAGATAATTCAATGTCTGTCCACATCAAGGCAGATCAAAGGGAGGTAATAGCACTCATTCTGTTTCTGTACACAAAATGGAGACCAAGTTGATTACCATGGAACAGCTAAAAGGTGTACAGCCAATGGTTTTTACTTTGGCTTTAGAATTCATAGTTATCACTTAACTTTCAGGAACACAGACACTGGATAGTATTCTGATTTTGCATTGACAGAAGTATGCACAATCAGAATCATTTTTGCCACGTAAGTAACAGGAAGTCAGACTTGGAAATTGCTTTGGCTCAGTGCAACAGTCAGAGATAATAAAAATAAAGAAACACTCCTAAGGAATAAATTGAAAAGAGTTACTATTTACAATATACAAGTGCACATGGTGCACACAATGTAAGGTGACAGTAGTACAGTTAAGTGGTGTGTATTATGTAAGTTAAAGGAACTAAACACCAGGAACTAAAAAGATATGTCAGAATAGGAGCACATGCTTCCCATATCTGCAGGTGGGTGCAGTGCTCCCTATACGGCACAGAATGTTAAAAAAAAATGTCAATACATTATATTGAGCCATACAAACACTAAATGACATCTGATTGGAATTGGTAATAAGTGCCTAGCCACTTTGGATTATTGGGGTAGTGTATGTACTGCAGGTATAGATCATAGTTAAAATGGTTTAAAACAGTTTCAAATTCAGATTTTACCCCATACAGGAAACTAGACAGATTACAATGATTATGTATGATGCAAACATACTGCTGCTAATGTACAGATGCTAACATCCTGCTGCTAGCCTAACCACACTCTA